GGTAATGGTTAGGCTCAGGGTGAGGTTTGCACTGGTAATGGTTGAGTTTAAGGTTATTCTTGGGGTTAGGGCATAGAAAGGATTGAAAATGACTGAAAATCAATGGCAGTCAAAGTGAGTTAAACCATTGGTCTTTATTACATATAGCAAGAGGAGAGTGTATGTGTGTGTGTGTCTCCCTACTGTTTCTGCCTGTCTGTCTCCACGCATAGGGCTGAATGTTCACCGGTCTAAGCTGACTATATCTTAATATAAGCCCATTTGCATAGCACACATGATCCTGAACACATGTCCGTATGCAAACAAATAAAATGGCCCATTGCCCTCTCAAGAGAGCCAGCACAGTGACAGCGGTATTATCTTGTCTGGTGATTAAGTAAATGCAGCCTCTAAAGAGTAAGAAGGTACTCTCAGGCCATTAGTCAGAAAGATAACAGCCATACAGCCTGTACTGCAACACTCAGCAGTATCTACAGTCCTTACTCTTCTAGCTCCAGTTGGAAACCAAGTTCAAACCAGCTTTAAAAAAAAGGCATCAACTCATAAGTCTTAAGCAGGATCTAATAATAAAGTCAGTTAATAAAAAAAAAATAAAAAATTGAGTGATGATCATTAAATTACGTCAAGAAAATTGTAATAAACTGAATAAAAACACCATAAAACAAAGAGAGAGATGTGAAGATATTTCGACCGTGTATGCTAATGCATTGTGACAGTGTGAGAAGAAGGATCCCACACATGGGTGCGACTTATCACTTTGTATTTGCCAGGCCACATTCAGCACACAGCCCATTACTTCAGCAAAGATCCATGGGGAAGAGGTTCAACAATCTGCTGATCAGAGTCTGGGACATTCCACCATCTGCTCATAAGAAAAAGTCTAACAAAAGGAATTTTAGCACCAGTTGCTTACAAGCAAATTAGCAAATTGCTAATTGCGCTAAATTTTTCTCTAGTTTCAATTTATGTAGATTTAATTCAACGCCCTGGCATGTGCAGACTGAAATATGTCTAAGCTGCTGGTTATTAGGAAAATCCTTTACTATCGAAACACAGCATTTACAATAGTCTTATTAAGAAATGGAAGATCTGAAAAGGATCTTAACCATAGTTCTCCATTCGTATATTGCTCTTGCTCTTTTTTTTTTTTTTAACCTAGGATTGATAATTACTTTTTTATGGCCTGGGGGAAAAAAAGGTTCAGAAAAGGATGACTAAATGAATCTGTTAAGCTAGCTAGTTAATTTAGATTAAGCCAATAAATATGTCATGTTTTTAGACTGTGGAAGGAAGATGGAGTGCATAGTGAGAACCCCTCCACGCAAGGGGAGAGCAGCAAACTCAATGGTTCACATCGTAACACAGATGGTATGGAAAGGACACAATATGAAGACTTTATAACTAAAGAACAACCAAGAACTTAAAGTGTAGGCAGAAATGAGTCCAAATTACTTTCACCCTAAGCGTGGTACCAAAGTAGATAACAAACCACAAAGTCAATATTTTTGCTGTGGCCAACAAAAAACCATACTAAGCTACACCAGCTTTGCCCAGGGTGACTAGATAAAAAAAAAAAAAAAATGTAGCACAACTAGGATGCTTATGAGGGACAATGCAGTACAGAAGCATCTTTTTCAGCTGTGCATCTTTAGTAAGAGTCACTTCTAAAGTGTTGCATTATATCACTCGTATTAATTTGAATAACTACTTATGAAAACTTCACCAAAAGCTCTCTGTGAATCTCCTGTCATTGGCCTTACCTAGTTATAAACATTACCCCAGTTTTTATTGTGGATGCATTTGCTTTCTTTAACCTGACAGTGAGGAAAATAATTGTGTCTTTTGGTTTTACTCAGTAGGTCAAATTATAGTTTAACTTAATATAATGTTATTTATAAGACTTTTTGACAGGGGTCTACTAATGATCAACATAAAGGAAAAAAATAAACCTGACATAGATTTAGGAGCCTCGGGACATGTTTGTTTTCTTGTTTCTTCATGCAAATTAATGTACAGCTATATGGCATTATAAAGCAAGAGAATTTATGTCGTTGGGTTTAATGATTTAGGTCAACCATCCCTTCAGCAAACATTTTTGCCTTCTTAGTTTCAAAATATTGCTGCATTCTCATGATTTAAGCATTGCATTGTTTAATGAGCAAACTGTCCTGCCATATAAGGGGCAACAAATTAGCCTTTTACATGAGTTAATTTTATACTGATTTGCATACAAGAAGGAAAATCTGTCAAGCTCATACTGAGCAAGGGCAACAGTATGTAGCATGAACACAGGGGCTCTTCATCACCAAACTTCAGGATTATTAATAAATACAAGTTGCAAATCAAGTTGAATGCAACTAAGGAAGATTTCTCTCCCGATTTCTGTAAATGACTATTAGTGAGGATGATTTGTAACATTCATGAGGGAAATTAGATCAGTCCAAAGTTTTTGGTTTTCAAACAGGCAATAATCTGTTTTGTTCCATCTGTTTGCATGAGTAACACATGTAAACTGGTAGTGAACGTCCTCTGCAACTTATGGCCTCAAAGTAAAAATACAAGTGGGAAACAGAATCATGACACTGAGCAGAGTTTACATTTCACCTCAAGCCCAATGCCTTCGAGTGGTCAACATGCGTGTTGAGCAAAAATGTTTATCACATAGAAGGAGATGAGAAGAGATAAGACTTCCATAGCCGAGCATTTACAAGCAGCGTGAGCCACAAGGCATGTACACACTTCTGCACAATCATGTTGTTTTGAGAGGGGCAGGAATGTTTGACCCCAAACTTAAGGCAGAGGAGGAAATAATTCTTTGGAAGAAACACACGCACAAGACCAAGAGGGCTACAGGGAGAATAATTATGTTATAAAGCTGTGTTTTCCAGTCATCTGTACTACAGTGAAGCTTATATTTAGTTTTATCCTATTAACACTTTTGACAGATTAAATAATTGTTAAATCTTCATGTTAACACACCTGTGTTGATTTTTAACTGAAAGATGGCATTTGATTTAACTGCAAATAAAAAAAAATGCCAGATCTGCCAAATTATTTTTATATGAAATCAAGCATGTTCCTTTTGTAGATCAGCATGGAACTGTGTGTATATGATTGTAGACCAGGCACTGCCCTTGACTCTAAGGTAAGAATGCCTCGCATGTTTGATTGCGCGACCCCCCCTGCCACTCTAAAACAATTTCTACCCACAGGAAGAACAGAAACCTCAAAGTCAAACTACACTATGGTGCAGTTTTTAGTACTACTGCCTTGCAGCAAAAAAGTCCTGCGTTTGAAACCCAGCCAAGGGTCTTTCTGCATGAAGTTTGCACTTTCTCCCTGTGGGCTCTCTCTGGTTACTCTTCTTTCCTCCAAATTACCAAACACATCTAAGGTGTGTGCAACCACTCAAATGTGTCTTCTGTCTTTTGTCCAAAGACTGCTAGAGACAGGCACCAGCCCCCATGTGACCCATATGGTAAACAAATATAAAAATGGATAAAAGGATAAATTAGAATTGAGTTGTCTCATTTCCTTAAACTTATAAAAGCCAACACAAGTTAATGTCTTAATATCCTGTCCATCACTACAAGTTGTACTCTTCCATATCCCTCACCATTATGTTACATTGGATACACCTATAGGCTAAACTTTAATGGTCTAATGATCTAATAATTGCATCAGGACAAGGAATGACTTCTACTACAACATCACAACTGCAATGCAATGATCAATGGTGTATTTCTTTGTCATTCTGACTGTGCAGAAAACAGAAATGAGAAGTCTTACAGTAAATAAACAGAGAAAAGCTAAAGGAATGTAATCAAACTTGATCAATCAACAAAGCCTACCTATCTATAGGTTCTGTATTATTACTCTATTCCCTGGGAAAGGTAGGTGCAATATAAGCATGATATACTTGTCAACATATTTTCTTTTTCCCAACAAGCTACTTTAAGTATTGTATGAACACTTTAAAAAAGTTATGCTTTTAAATATACCTTTTTAACTGCTGTTAAAACAATCTCATATATAGCAAAGCAATTTCTACGCTCATGTAAGAACATTGGGGATGTTTTTCTCTAGTTTAAGCGATGCCATTAAAGGTTAATACCTTTAAAAATCATTCTGACCTCTTAAACTTTCACACATTTTTTATGTTACAACAAAGAAAAAAAAAAACGATGTGTTTTTGAATTGATTTGTATTCAGTCCTCTTTAATTTGATTACCCTAAATTGAACCAAATGCTCTGAGAAGTTGCGAAAGTAGCAAAGAGAGCCCATCTCGTTCTGTTATAATCTGAGTATGAAAAAAGCTGTTCTGGGAGGCCTCAGAGGTATATGAGAGAACATTAAAGGACAAACAACATCATGAAGATCAAAGAACACACTGGTAGCAGTACAGTGCATCATGAAGGATGGAAGCTAGTCAGACACGAGGGAAAGATGGATAGAACTGAATAAAGGGCAGTTATGAAACAAAAGATTAGCGTTTAGAGCTCAAGATATCGTAACTAGACGAGCGGCAAAAATTATCTGTCTTTACATGTGAAAAGTTTATCACTTATTTATTAGGGTCTTTCCATTAATCTATTATCAACCGAATAAAATATTAATAGGTTTGTTGATGTAGAAGGCCTTAATATAAACCTGTTTAGTTTTATAAACAGTTTAGCAAGATAATGTACAAGAGTGATCACATCAAAAACTTTAAAAAGCTCTAAAAAGCTTTAAGAGCATAGAGATTCCTTAAATGAATTACACTTTTTTTTTTTTCAAATATTAAATGTTAAACCTGTTTAAAGTATTTGAACATGAACATTATAAATGTGTAGTTTGGAATAGTAATAGTTAAATTGGTGAAAATTTGCGTTGTGTTCGTTAGATATGCAAAACATATATTTTGCAGCTGACTATGTCAAAACAATTGGATAAAAAAGTATTAGTTTTCAATATAAATATGGCTTTATGTAAGAAAGTAAAAAAGTGTAATACTTACAACCATACCATTTAGGGATACCCAGCAGTCAGGGGGAAAGTCTTGGAGGAGAGGCACCAGATACTGGAGACAGCCATCCCAATGACACAGAAGCAGCATCATCCCTATCAAATTAAATATTCTTACCACTGCACTAGCCAGATCATAGGTCATATGGAATATCTGGAAGACACAAGCAAAGACAGAGAACACTCTTAGACTGCATTATAGTCTGGACATTCATACATAAAACTGATTGGTTGAGGATAGTATTCAAAAAGGAAAAGTCCCATTTCAATTGGAAAAATGTGTGTATGTGTGTATCTGCACTTGCAGACACTGAGCTGTACATAATTCAGTATGGCCACTTTCCAAAGCAAACAGAGCTGCAGAGGAAACACAAATCCAGTGCAGAGGACAGCAGGTAATGCAGTGTAAATTAGTTGAATGATGAAGAGCTAGAAGAATAATTAGCCAGTTTGTGAGTTTAAACGCCATCAGCAGGAGATGAATTTTACAGCCATTTAATCTGAGCCTGGAAGTTTTTAGAACAAAAAGTCATCAATACCAAGAAGCACATCTGCAGAGAGAACTGTGTCATTTATACTGGATTAGGCGGAGGTGAATGGACTCACGCCTGGGTGGCCATGGCGCTCATTCAGAGCTTCTCATTAGCACATGAAATTATCATTAGCATGAGAAACCAATTACTTACTTCCAGGTTAGTTAGGTCACAATCTTCTTTATGCTGCAGCTTAATGTCTCCCTACTAGAAAAGCTTAAAGATTGCTTCTGATTGGTCCGTTTTGCACAATAAACCAGCAATATATTTCAACTTGATATAATAAAAGCAAATGATTTTAGACGATTCTGATCTTTTTAAAACAAATGGCTTTCTAAGTCACAAAAATAGTGACACTTGTTAAGAAATGGGTTATGAATCATTTAGCACATCATTAAATGATATGATGCAAAAAGACCAACAAAGTGATTTAAATATCTGAAAGGTATAAACTTTTAACTTTTAAAGCACACTAAATGTATTTTTCTATATTATGCATTTTTTATTCTGCCGTTACATGTTTCCTAAGTGAGATTGTTTAGTAATGTGTGAGTGAACCCTTAAATAAGATTATCACATAGAGAAGACAGTAACAAGTTATGAAAATTAAGGCAACCACACTGGATTTTGAGGATAGAGACGGTGAGAAAATATGTGTTTTTGCTTTTTCCAACTTCAGTGCCATTAAAGCACTAGTCAAGAACTTTAAGTTTTGGTCAATGTTTCCTTCTCCCAGTGGACAAAAGCTGTACTTTATGTGCCTGAAGGAAGACAGCATTTCCCATGAGGCCCAGCATATAGTTTAGTAATATCCTGATTTCCCAGTCACCTGTAGTTGGATTGAACTACATTTCAGTTTCCAGTGGCTGTTTGAAATATGTAAAGCGTAAAAATGTCATATGACAATGTTAAAAAAAAAAGAAAAAGTTTAACTTTGGTTTCGTACTGTGTTCCTATATATTGTATGAAGGTTGAAAAGTTTCCTCATGTAGGTTTAATTAAATCGTGTCCATCACCCCCCCCCAAAATTAGATGTTATTTTTATTTTATGTTGTTTTGTTTTTTTTTAATAGAATAAATCAAATAAAATGATGCACCACTGCTGAAAATCACGATGTTACAGAGATTCACTGATCAAGAAAAGGTTTGAGGACCCTAAACAGGCAAAAAATAATTGCAAACAGAAAAAGTTATTAAGTTATTCAAATTTGGAGGAAAAACGTATTTCCCATAAATGTGGAAATCATGCATCACCCTTAATTTTAAAGACAAATACCGGAGATACTGACTGCATAAAATCTTTCTTTTTTTTGTGGTTTGATGGTAACATAATACTTTTCCTGAGTAGTTAAAGCATGTGAGATATAGTTAGTGCCTTGTGTTTCCTATTTGAAGTACACATTGGCAAGAGGAGCTTGAAAGTGAAACAAACATTCTGGAAAGGAGGGGTTTAAATAAGATAGCCACTACGTTTTAATGATCTTTGCATGTCTTGCATCTTTATTATTATAATTTTTTTATGGGTTAAGTTTTGAAAAAATGGTCACATTTCTTTTTTCTTCCTCCTCATATCAAACAATCTTAAATATGAGCCTCGGGCAGTGTAGATACAGTAGTCTGTGATTCTGCCCAGGTGTGTTGAAAGCTCTTTGAATCCACATTACTCCACCTCCATCCATTGTAACTGCCCTGTAACCCCACACTGCACAAAGAACAATGTCCACACATAGAACAGAACGGAGAAGCAGGGCCTTTGCTGATGCTCAGATCCCTCTGTGGTTCATCTCATCCACGGGGAGATACAGTGCACTGCCCTGAAAGGCTAAAATTAGCCACCAGCTTACAGGGTGGTTGTCTCAGTGCACCTAACATCCTCTCTTCACTCCCAATTTAACATATATACCACCAACTTGGCTAAGGTTGTTTTCTATTAATTAGAATTATGCAGCATTAAACAGAAAGGCAAAACAAAGACAAACAGGTGAAGGAAAAAGTTAATGGCTTATCTGCTCACTCTTCTTTGAGAATGTACAAAAAAGACAGAACAAGAACTGATGAAACAAGATGAAAACTGGTGAAAGGTTTTCCAAAGTCTAAAAGAAGGTCTAACTTTCCTGAAAGGTGTTTGAGACCTTTGGGGTGTGCTGCGTCAAACGGGTTGCACTGTATGAAATACAACCACATTACCACAGAGTGTAGTTAATTCCGAGTTTATACTCTGGCAGGTCTACCTTTAAACAATCTGGTAATTTACAGCTTTACTAAAACATCAAGAGATGACAAAATAATCAAGATGTTTAAAACAGACCTTTGGTAGAAAATCTCTTAGTACCAGAACTCTTAATCAAAAAAACTATATTTTCTGTTACTTTTTGTATTGTATAGTGCTAGGTTTAACATAAGGTCCCAGCTTTATTTCTTTCATTCCTCTTAAAGTTTAGCTGACATTTGAAGGACAGCTGCTTTGGACTGCAGTCTTCCTTAAAATATGCCTTCTATGTATGCTTATGTGACGTTAGATATCTGTGTATATCTTTTTTTATGTCATGCAGAACAGAGACATGTTGTGAAACAGCAGTAGTCCTGATCCAAGCCTAATTACTATTAATCTGTTTAAAAACTTGACATAAAATAAAATCAATGATAAACGCCATAAATAAAATTGTTTCACAGCAAAGATAAGATAAATCTTCTTTTATAGCCACTATCTTCTCACACATGGACGTGACGTCTCCTCTGCTTTTAAAACGAATATTAATCCACATTCAGTACAGAAGGGCTGGACTAAAATAGATTATGAAGATGGTTTTTAAACAGAAATATGAAAAGCAGGGAAATCATAAAAAAAAAACTAGAGGCCTATAAAACTCACATAATGCTGGCGATTCAACGCATTGCCCATCTTAACATTTCTGTATGTCCCTTCAGGTGATCTTATACTCAGCGATTGCCAAAACAAGTCAAGATTTAAAACGTTTTTCTGTTTGATAGCCCTGTGAAGCGCCCGGTTTGAGTCGTGGTTGTCCTAATATACATTTATAGACATCGTTTTCAGCTTTTTGATTTTTAGGAACAGTTATTCATTAAGATTAACAAGAAAAACTGATAAAAAAAAAATCTCTTTGAATTAATTAAGGCAACCAAATTGTGTTACCATCAGTCTTAAGCATGTTTATTCTTTCTGAAGATCAGAAGATAAGATTTGTTTAGACCATTTTCCTGGCTGCATGTGCTTACCCTGTAAGCTCTGATTTACAGAATTTTACAAATGATCTCATTAAAGAGTTTTTATTGTATATTCTCTTATTTTATATAACACACTCGTTTATAGTTGCACTTTTGATGTACACTTAAACCCTGTGAGCCATTGTTTAGCAGTTTTAACATCTAATTTTTTTTCTATAGATTCAGTGCTTTAAAATGTTTATATCGTTTAATTATTTACACAGAGTATTAACAAAGAAGAATCCCCTCTTGTGCTTAAACTCTTTCTTTCTCTGTCTTAGTCTTTGCCAGGAAGCTGCATGCCAGTGGATGGTGCCATGTGTTGTGTCATGTGCCCCTAAAGCAAACAACATCACAGAGAGAACGGACCCTTATGTCATTAAAGTTTGATTTTGTGTTTGGAATCTAGATTAAAAGCAAGAACAAAATCCCAATTGGCAAATTAAAACTTACAACAGGTGACAGTAGTTGCCTTTTAAGTTTTAGGATTCTATTATGTCAGCTTAGCTATATAACTCCCTTTTCAGATTGCACTGCCAATTACTAGCAAATAGTACAGTTATTTGGGGAAGAAAAAAAATACTTCACTAACCATATTGCAAAGGTTGCCTGATTCTAAAAGTCCACATTTATTCTCTTACTAGGTTAGTGGTTTTAACTCTGCTCTCACAACATGTACCTTTGACTCTAATAAACATTTAGTCTACTGCATCTTCCAAGTTTATTTACTACCCTAGTTACAGTATTTAACTAAAATATTTCCAAACAACATATTTTCAAAAACACAAACGCCCTGAAATGAGCAAAGTGCTTCTGCAAGGGTAGGATATGCAATTTAAGTAAAAAGAAATGGTTTTTAAATAACTCACCATTGCCACACTTCCCAGCACATTGAGAAATCCTACATCACTGAAATGGAGCATGGTCTGAAAATAACAATGATTTCGCAGTGTTTTCCTGTTTTCATTGGGTATAAATATAACATCACAGGAAAACTATTTTCCTGACCACCCCTTCAATAAGGGAAAGGAAGGAGGATGTGTCAGCCAGGTGAGGCAGATGTGTGTTGACCTTCATATGTCAGGAAATAGTCACAAGAAAACAGACACTTGCATCTATCTGCTCTCACAGTAACAAAGAAAAAGTGTTTGAAACTGGAACTAAACTTGATGAGAGTTCTTGTTTATCTCGCAGTCACTTTGTAAGAGGCTTGTTGGGGACTAAAGAGTGGTGCCTTTGGGTCAACAAGTCTCCAGAGTAACTGATGAGGCAATGCCTGAAAGTTAGATCAGGCCCAACTGCTTTACATTTGATCACACAGACTCCATATTAAGCATACCTCACTAATTTGAGTAGTCTTCTGCAGATGCAATTGTCTGCATTCATCTGCATGTTT